AGATTTGAACAAATATTCAAATGATTATAACTTTCTTCAAATATGACGAATTTTCAATCTGAAAGCAGATTTGGGAGTTTTGTGAAGAGCTCTTTCTAATCAGTTTGAAATTACAAAAATTTATAAGAAATAACAAATTTAGATCAATTAACGAGGAAAATTCATGATGAGCACGAGTTTTTACACTTTCCGAAGCCATAACTTGCTTCATTTTCGTCATATCCGATATCTAAAAAGGGCGCTCATGTCGTTAGGGGGGACATTGAAATGAGTGGGCCACTGATAGAACTTGGGACTAAGCTTTAGGGAGGGGAAGGATTTTGGGAGCAACCATCGTTCTCTCCTTGTATTTATTCCCAGTCCTGGGCTTAGTCCTAGTGTCACCTACCAGCGGTTTTTGAATGCTCCTGTTCTGAATGTCCCCCCTAAGGACATGAGCGCCCGTTGTTGCTGTTGCTTCCACAGTTACAACCTTTTCTGCTGAAGCACTCTCTCTGAACCACATGTAATTTTTCGTGTTATTGAGGGCTCAGAAGTAAGAGACTTTCGCAAGATGCGGGGTCATATGGTATAAGAACGGGACCGAGATTTGGCGAGGGAGGAGAAACTCCAGGGTGAATGAACAATTTCATTTTTCGAGAAATTTCTGCCTCATCCAAGGTTTTGTCTTACAATTAGAAGATGCCACCGTACCTTGCGATAGCGCAGATTTTTTCAATGTGAATTATACTGTTTAGTATATGATATATTAAGTATGTGAAATTACATCATTTTTTTGCCATAAAACTCAATTTGTTCCATAATCGCTCAGACGCTGTAAATAAAATGATAACGAAAATAAATAAGTGAGTGAAAAATCAATAATTTTTTTGGAATTTTCTCTTCTCTTCCAGAGCACACACACCATCTCTGTTTGTTCTATTTGTTCCTTTAGTTATTTCTTATAAGTTTATTTATTTTTCGGCAGCCGCATTTGTTGCCTAATCTATTGTTTCTGATTAGGTCTGTAGATCAAAAGTTTTTTTCTGTGTAGATCACTTTTCCTTCTATCCTTTCACTTTCCATGGCTAATCAATATTTTCTAAAAATGACAGGTGTATTTCATTCTTTCTATCCTGATTTTCTTTCCATACGGTCGTTTTTTTCAGGTCAGATTGAGCAAAAATTATCTTGTATAAACTTTCAAACGTTGATTTTGATTGATAAATCTGTGTCTTTTAAGCCGCAGTTGACCGCTGTGACAGTTATAAACAGGAAGCGCTGAGTTGTGGGGCAAAACTCTCGGCTTAGCCAGGAGTTGTGACCGGTCTCTTGCTTTCCGCGCAATTATTTATTTATTTATTTATTTATTTATTTATTTATTCATGCGTGCAGCTGACGCGCCTATAAAGAAACTAACAATAGAAAACACTGTGGTTAGTCAATGAGGACGGTAGCCCTATTATCTTTACGGAACTATTAAAACTACAGTATAAAAGGACTCCTATAACCCTATTCCCTTTCCTGTATTCAAAGGGATAGCACCAACCCGAGGAAAAAATTAGCAATTGTGTGCTACCAGTACGAATCCCGACTGGGGCGACAGTTTTGCCCATATTTTGGCACTCTTGTGAAAATATTCCGGGATAATATTTTTATTAGGTTTCAAGAAAGATATTTATTCCTCCGCTTTTCCTCAACGATGTTCAATCTCGTACAGCACGCTTGTCGAATGATTCCTGTAAGCCTTTGTCGGCAAACTTTTGCAGTAATTTCTGCTCATTTACTAGAATGCGCCATGCTCTGACATTCAGTAGACAATTCAATTTGAGAGAATATTTCTGAAAAAAAAAATAGATTTAGTACCAGCTCACGGTATTTTACCTTTCCTCAATAAGCCGCCCCATGTCAAAAAGCTTCACAAATATGTATAGCATAAATAAATATGCCTGAAGACGGTCTTGGCCTGATCTTTATGTTTTGTTACCTTGTTTATTGTTTAATAATTCAGAAAAATGTTCCCGAAATTGGAATACACAATCGAGGGACTCGAACCGACTCACGCTTATGGCCTTGTTCTTCAGATTGAGCAAGTCGATGACAATAGGTTTGTTCCTCCTCAGTTTATTGTGTATTTGTTTCTTTAGCTTTTACTTGTTTATTATTTATTATTTATATTATTTTATTTTCTTGTTTCATTTTGATGGCAATATTCATTCAGGAATATTTTGATTTTATTCTATTTTATCTTTCACTTTTCTGCTTCTGTGAAGCATTTTCATTATAAAATGCAAAGTGATTTTTCTATCAGAATTTTTTCCAATGTATTTTTCAAGCTACATTTCGTTCCTTCTTGGATGCAACGATACCAAATAGAATTCATTTATGGTCAGCAATGAAATACTGAAACGCATGGCATGAACCATAGTCTTCTGGGATGCGCCACGCATTCTACCGGCATTCACATTATTCTGGCTTCCTGAATGTGATTTGATAATGACTGTCGGGGTTACCCTGTGTACAATGTGGTATTTTTGTCCGTTCAACGAATCTGATATCAACTAAGCGGACTAAAAGACATGGAGGGCTTGGTGGCTTGTGCAGATTCGATCTGGAATTTATTCCTGGACCGTGCCCCGCAAGTAGCCCCACCTGGCGACTTATAACTCCCACCTCAGGTTAGCATGAAGAGTATATAAAATAGGCCCGGTCTTTTCCCCGCACAAAGATGGGACGGAACTGATATCTTTTTCTTGTAGCGGTTTTGAAACTCCCATTCATTATAGGCAGTAAATAAAAGTCGAGTAGGGTCTTCGTCGCCGCGGGAGGATTACCGTATGAGTATCTTGTGCGGATTACGGTAGCCGGAAAATGAGTTTTACTTTCCTAAGCATTGGCATGAATCAGGATCGCTGTTGAAGTTTCGTGGGCTTGTGCTCTGCGTTAAAGGCAAACCCGGGATTAGCCCGACTTGTGGGAAGGATACCGCGAGGGAAATTGTAAGGTCCCTACCTACCTAGATCACTCCAGCTTCGCCGCAAAAGTTGCGCGGTTAGGGCGCTAATCCTTACGGGCCTGCAACCATCGACCCCCGTTGCAACGCTTCCCACCCACCTCGATATCGGCGTGCTCTCTCGAACGGCGTGATCTCTCGCGTGTTTTGTCTTCTTTGACCGCCCTGCCTCGCCATCGTTCCACATCCACCTTTTTGAAGGTTAAGGCCTTAATTTCAGCGATCCCAAAGATTTCTCTAGCTTTCCTTTCCACTTTCAGGCCGTCCCGCAGCTCAGTCATCACTACGAAGCGCTCTTATCACCAGTTTTATCCCGGGGCTTGCCTTTAAATGCCGCTTCTTTGTAATATAGCCCTTTCATTATGTGAATGTCTTACATAAATCAGGCGATATACACAGTCACTAAACGCTTTTCAGATACAAGTTCTCTGGTGGTGAATGGAGTGCCGCTGGTCGTGGAGAGAGTGGCGGAGTTTCGAAGAACGTCATGCACCATGACGGTGTCATGCCTGGTGCACACTGGATGCGTCAAGCGGTGAATTTCGAACGCGTCAAGATCACCAACAACTTCAGCGACATCAATCCAAGCCATGTGAGTTTGGCTATTAGGTCGCATTTTGCTTGGAAACGCCTAGAAAGGAAGACACGACATTCACTTCACCTCACCCGCGATATTTTAATCGCATTGCGTTTAAATAATTACGGTAGCTTGACGTGGGCCGAGGTACTGTAACCACCCAATCCAAAAATCAAATTCCCTGGAAAAGGCTGATTTACTGAAAATCCTCCTCCGAAACGGCTCAGTAGGTGGAGGCGCGTAATTCCTCCCAGGTCAAATATTTCCCTTGAAAAATTCTACCCATACTACCTGCTGGGTCGGTGAGATATGCCAAACACTGTGGGGATTTGACGGTGGTCAGCCCATTAATTGACTTCCTTCTGTTCTTTACTGGTTAATGTTCGACACAGCGCCATTAGGTTGTAAACGTCGTCAAATACAAGAGTTATTAGGGTCTAAGACGGCAGTGTGCCGTGGTCGTATCTGATCAGATCAGATCGTTCCGACAAAGCCGGCGATCGACCACGAACAACAGGGCGTGCTCCCCCGACTAACATCACTTTGCTAATTGGCATCGATAATTATGCATAAGAAACGTCAACATTGATGGGATTAGACAGGATTAACGTTTCTGTAGTGCCAACTAAGCTCCTATGGTGGGGCATCGAGGGGAGCGAGTAAGTCCGAAGAGATCATCTTGTTCCATGAAAATTAATGGAACTGAGGATGAAGTGATGAGTTGATCAAAAGCGATTCTCAGTGTGAGCCTCTCTCTCACCTCCAGCCCTTTTTTCGGCAAACTGCGGAGGGCTTCTATCCTTCTCCCATTTCGGCTTGCCATCTTACACCGTAGCGAGAAGCGGAGACAACGTTTGGCGTGAAGCAAGTCCGGCGGCCGTTATGGATTTGCGCTTGCCGTACGTCCAGCTTGCCGAGGCCCC